ACAGGAGGTGGGGGCATCTCGAGATGAGAAAGGACGGTGGACGTTACCAGATGGGAGAGAAATGATGGGCCAGCCTATTATGAGCTGATGAACATGTTACACAGGGGGAGCCATTGGGGTCCTCAGGTGATGTGTGATGCTTTGCTAAAGGTTTATGGGTGTATTAGCATTTACACTATTGCTAAACAGGTTTGTAAGAGCTGCATAAGGTGCCAAAGAATTACTAAGAAGTGTATGAGAAAGCCAGTATCTGGAGAGGGACTCCCAGGAATAAGACCATTCCAAAGTATTCAGATTGACTTTACTGAGATGCCGAAAGTGGGAAAGCTTAAATATTTAGTAGTGATTGTTGACCATCTCACTGGATGGGTGGAGGCCAACTCATTAACAACTGCAATGGCAGGATTAGTGATAAAGGTACTTTTAGAGCAAGTTATTCCTGGGTTTGAGTTAATAGGAAATGTTGATTCAGATAACGAGAGTCATTTTACTTCAAAAGTACTACAGGGAATAATTATTATATGAGCTACCGTATCTGGGAAGGGCAACAGACTTGCCCACTATAGAAACAAAAGATCAATTTTTAAGAGAGTATGTGCTGGCCATGTCTTCTAACTTCTCTCAAGCTGAAAGGACTCCTCACCCAGATTGCCCCACTTGAGTTCTTCGCTCACTGCTTCCAGCCTAGAGACCTGGTGTTAGTAAAATCCTGGAAAGAAGATGGACTCCAGCCAGCTGGGAAGGCCCCTCCCAAGTGCTCCTGATCACGGAGACTGCAGTGAGGACGGCTGAAAAGGTTGGACTCATTACACCAAAGAAACTGACTGGGGGATCTGGGGACAAAACAGAATTGGCAGGTGTCCCAGGTGGCTAACCAACCCTTAAGGCTGAAACTAAAAAGAACCTAAAATGTTAACTTTTATCCTAACTCTGTATTTCACAGGCAAGTCGTAGAGAGCCCTAATATGGGAAGGAACTCCTGGTTATTCTGTCAAATTGGTAATCAATATCACTAAAACATCAAGCCCCCAAGCCATTAGGTTTGATGCTTGTCAGGTTTTCTCTTGTGGTGGCCTAAATGACCAAAAATAGCTTTCTGGAGATAATAAGTATCTCTGTCCTGAATGGACAAATTTTAATAGAATAAAAAGGCAAGTAGGCCCCCATGTTCAAGGTGGAGCAGTGTTTGGTGGACTATCCAGTTTCAAGGGTGGACGGCCCCTCATGCAGCAGAAAAATCTTTAAAAAGCTCCACTTAGCTAAAGGAATTCCTCCTGACAATTGCCAGGGCAGATAGTGTAACACCCTTTTATCACGGACTCAGTGCAGATGTCATTGGAGTAGATCCCGTGGGAAGGTTTGGTCTTAATTTAATCAAAGGCAAGACTTCACCCATAGTGGCCACCCCCAATCCTGAGAGAAATAAATAACAAGCCAGGGCTTCCCCATAATGACCCTAGACTAGTTACTGTAACAGATAAAATATCTAAAACAGACTCTTGAAATAGAGACAGATAATGGAGACACCAATGCCTGGGTAAGTGGGTTAAATTTTCAGTACTCGCTTTGAATAAAAGCGACTGTTACGTATGTGCTGCTGGATGGCCACAGGTGCAGGTGGTCCTGTTCCCTCTGCTAGGACACAGACCCCACTGGGATGAACTGCATGTTGGCCCTGTACCAGGACAAGGACGCTTGGGAAAATGAGACTTGCAAGGGCTTGTCTTTACTCTTTCATGCACCAAAGAAGACCCAAAGGCAGTCCCCTCTTTTTCTATAGGGAAGATGAATCACTCCTCATGCCTCTCTAGGCAAGGGGAAGGTTTCAGAACTCCTGTGGGGAACTACTGACTTGTACCCGTGTCCAAAATGACTCTAAAGAGGGCAACTTCTCAAAATTACGCATCCCCCAAGCGGATGTTTGGTGGTACTGTAGAAAGGGGTACCTGTGCTACTCGTTCCCACCCACCTGGACTGGGACTTGTGCTTTAGTCCAATTGGCCATTCCATTTACCCTGGCATTTCCCTCCACACCCAATGAAAAAAATGTTCATGGAAGTCAAGTGTATACATTGACTCAATAGGAGTCCCTGATGAATTTAAAGCTATAAATCAAATAGCTGCCAGATTTGAGTTGGCACTATTTTGGTGGTCCACCATCAACAAAAACGTAGATTAGATCATTGAGTATACCAGGGATGCTCTTCAAGGAGTAGCCAGTCAACTAGTTGCTACCAGCAAGATGGCCTGAGAAAACAGAATAGCATGTTAGCAGAAAAAGGAGTCTGTTATGTTAGGAGGAAAATATTGTACTTTTATAGAAAGGTATAGTTACCTCTGTTTTAACATCCCTTGTTATATAGTTGTGAGACTTTTAACTGCTGTAGGATGCTGTATTATCCCTTGTGTTAGAGGCTTGACTCAAAAGCTTATAGAGGCAGCCATAAACAAGATTAGAGAAATTTGAGAAAGAACCAAGTATAAATTAAAATACATTACTGGGAATAAAATCAGAAATTATTAAATAAAAAGGAGGGAATTGTTAGGAAAGAGTATAAAACCTAAATGGGATTTATTCCCACTAGGATGTTTAAACATTTTAACAGTAAGGTATGAACAAAGGGCCACGTGGTGGAAGCTGCTGGGCTGAGAGTGGGGGTGGGGGAATTGATAAGGGCCTGGCTATACCTGTTTGAGTTTTTCAAACCTGCCAATAAGACAAATGTAAAGGAAAGATATAACCGGCTTAGGCGACGTCCGGGAAAGAATGTGAACCCTGTAGTACTCAGCCAATGAGGAACCAGGGGAGGGACTCGCGTACTAGGAGATAAATTATTGGCGCCAAACTCCCCAGGTGTGCCTGCCCACCAGACACCCGATCCCTCGCTCCGCTGTCCTCTTTGTCTTCGTGTCCATTTACTGAATTTGGACCAGTGTGTTTCTCACAACTGATAAAAACAAAATCAAAGTCCACTTCATTTTTAGCTTTGTTCTCAATCTTATTAAAATGGCTTACTCTAATCTTTCTCAAAGGATGGTTCAAGTACCACTGATGTATGCCAGATGGCTTCAGGAGTACCTGAATGAACATTTAATTCAGTGGTTAGGTATTTGTTTTTAACATATTTTAGAAAGAAATAACAGAAAATCAGACCTGTAATTTCTTATTGAGTCATGCTAAGAAAGAGTGAGTGTACTGACAGTGGATTTTAAGAACAAAATTAAAGTCAACAGTGAGTGGATGTAAGGAGGGCCCTCCTATGACTGCAGTTAGGCCTGGCTTGAGAGCAGCTTGGGGACACTGGAAGTACCAGCAGCCCAGAAAGGTTTAGGCTTAAAGGTGGGGGCTAGTGGGCTGAAGGATGAGTTGGGAGGATGGAGGAGGGTTGGAGACACAACCCTATCTGAGTCCCTAAAGGCAAGTGGCCCCAAGATAGCCTCAGCTCACTAGACTTGAGCTGATTTTTCCCAGTCCCATATCCTGAGGCAGTATCTTGGTCTCTTCTAACTCTATTCCACTCTTACCAGGCCAAGGCACCAGCCCCGTCACTCCTATCCCTTGAAGACTGATCCCTCTTCACAATCTTCCAATCAAGGGTGTATGTCTCCAGACAGTGGCCAGCCAATCATTACTACACCAGTAGTACCCACTTCAAGGTAGTAACACCACCATAAACAAGGACAGGAGCTGCACAGTACCTCCCAACTCGTACAAAGCACCTCACACATACGATCTCCTGCGCCCATCGAACCCTGAGTTCCAGGGGGGCAAGGTGATAGCAAAACATGCCAGGCAGAAGAGAGGGAAAGTGCTTGCTTCCCAGGGCCAGAAGGGCAGGGGTCCTTGGAAAGAAGCCAGACTGGTGAACCCTGGGGAGAATTTCTCCCCTCAGCTCCAATGAACATTGCAGGCCTCAGACTAGGGCTGGAGAGACAGCCTTTAGGGCTGGAAGGCTGGGGAAGCCTTCCCCACAGGCCTCCAGGCCCAGTGCCCAGTTAGTGTGGGGCAGGCTAGTGTGGGGGCCTCCCCCTCCCCCAGTCCTCTGGGAGTTGGGGAGGGGGTTAGTGAGGGGATGGCTAGGCTCCCCCTCCCAGGCCAGCTGCTACAGAACCTTCTGGCTCCAACATTCCATCCCCTCTTAAAGGGGAAGTCACTGCTTCTAAACTGTCCAAAGCCCTGCAGTTGGGTGGAGAAGACCCCGCCAGAGAAGGGAAGACGAAGAACACCGAGAGACTCCTGCTGGCCCTCCCATCCAGGCTCTGAGGCCCTTTCCAAGGTCTCCCTCGTAGTCACCATCTGGAGGAGAAAGGCCCCAATCCTGAGGTGCAATCAGCACTTGGGCTAGTGGGGATTTCTCCTCAGGACTCAGGCGCTCTGCTCCCTTGACATCATCCCAAACACCCCACAAGGGAGAGGAGAGATAGCTAAATAAACATCAGATCTGTAGACCTTAGCTTACAGCGTGGTGCCTGAGCACCCACAACCCCCCTTCCCCCCCCAGTTCAGTCCCACAGGCATAGCCTTCAGATGCAGGATACTCCAAATATAGCCGAGTTGTGGAGCTAAAAAGATGGAGAAGGTGAAAGCCGAGTGCCGAACACTCAAGTCTATGATAAAAAGGTGGCTTTCTTGGCAAGAGGAGGGCTGGGGGCTCTGGCCTCTAGAATTGGGTGGAGAGGGTGTGCGTCTATAGAACGCTGGTCTCTGAGGAAAGGAGGCTTGAATGGGCTGGAACTCTGCTCTTGGGCAGCTGGACATTCTCTTAAACTGGGGGGCGGGGGGGCAAGGTTCCCCACAAGAGGCGAAAGTAGAGTCCCCAAGAGGGGCTGGAACTCCAGCCTCTGAAGAAGCCAAAGGGGGCCCAAATGGCTGAGTCGCCCCCTAGAACTGGGAGTACGGCTAGAAACCAGTGCAGAAAGGGGAGTCCAAACTGGCCGATCGGGCCCCAGAAGCGGGAGGAACCTGGGTCCCCCGGAGGCGAGGTGGGGGCCATCCTCACCCGAAATCGTCGTCCATAGACTTGAAGAAGAACTTATAGCTGGGTCGCTGCAGAACGCCCTTAAAGTCCGCCAAGGTGACGCGCTCGGCGGGCAAGGGCAGCTTCACCAGGTACGGCGTTTCCTGCCCGTCCAGGTGATAGATGATCTTGGTCTCGCCCATGGCTCCGGCCTCGGGCCCGGCGGCCCGCGCGCGGCCTGCTCGGGCGGCCGGGCCGGGCCTCTCGGGCGGCGGCGGCGGCGGCGGCGCTCGGCGCGGCCCAGCGGCTCACCCCAGGTCCGCGGCCGGCCGCGGCGCCAGCTCCCTTGTTCTCCGGCCGCCCCCGGGTCCCAGCGCCGCCTGCCGCCGCTGCGGCGTCGCTTCCGCTCCCCACTCTCCCGACTCGGCTGACGACTACGACTCTTCCGGTGGCCGTGGCCCTCCCGGCCCTGGGATGCGTCCCGGCTCGCTCCCCTCCTCCGACCCGGCACAGCCCCGCCCCGGCGCGGCCCCGCCTCCGGCCGCTGCAGAACTACACTGGCCTAGTGCTGCTGGCACGGACCTCCGCCGGGCCCAGCAGACATCCCGCCCACCAGCTGGGCGGCGCGCTCGGGCTCCTGCGCTCCGGTCCCGCAGGCCCCCCAAAACGGAAGGGCAGACTTCACCAGGACGGCATTCTCACTCCTCCAGACCCTGGCTCTGGACCCCAGCGGGATCGGCTGCTCCTCTGCAGCTGCGGAGGGGTAAAATGCAGAGGTCGCTTTGGTCCCCAGAGATGAGGTGGGGAGGATTCTGACAGTGTATCACTGGGTAAAAATGACCCCGACATGGCTCTTCAGGGTTTGGTGAGAAGCGTAGCTGCTATTATTGAGTCTACCGCACTCAGCTTCTTGAGGACAAAAGAGGATGGAGTTCTGATTCCTTCTTATAATTTCAGTGCAAAATAATGACATAATAAGTGGCTTGAACACAGAATGAAGTGTGCATGACTAGGACAGTAAGTCTTAAACCAGAAATAGGTATAATCGGTTCCTAATCTCACTCCTTAGCTTTTGTTTAATATTGAGACCTACTTGTGTGCAAGGCATACTATATAAGATACAGCAAAAACGAGACAGATAAGGCTGCCCTCAGGAAACCACTCATCTGGAAGGACACACACGGGCTTGTAAATAAATTATTTCAGAATGACAAATACCGTGAAGAAGGCAAAATGGAGTGATGTGATAGGTAACAAAGGATTATGTGGGTGGTCAGAGAAGGTCTCTTCCATTTGAGCTAAGACCCACAACTATAAGGAAGCAGCTATAAGGTCTAGTCTGGGGGAAGAGCATTCCAGGCATAGGGCACAGCCAAGTACAAAGGCTCAAGGGAGGACTAAACGACAAATTTGAGGAACAAGAAGCCAGTGTGAATACAGGGTTAGTGGTAGATGAGGCTGAAAGGTAGACTGGGACCCGGTAACTCTAATTCCTTTCTAGGCTACAGTAACAAGTGTCCCTCGCCTTTCATTCCATTTTGTACACTGTTGCCAATTAGCATTTCAAGAATAAAGTACCTCAGACAGCTCTTCTGCTCATAAACCTCTCTACATTCCCGTGTCTTCCAAACATCCTTAGCATGATATTCAAAGTCCTCTGTAATCTAACCCATACCTACCTTTACAGCTTGTTTCATTATACCCTAGTCATGTTTTTGACTTAAGCAAATCAACCTATTTGCTAGCCTTTGCACACATCTTGTATATTTTCATTTCATACCCTTGCCTTTAAACTTTTACGGAAGTAATGTGTGTAGAGTCAAATAATATTAAGCTTAGAACAGCAGTCTTCTGTCCCATTTCTGTCACCATCCCAGTAATTTCTTGATTTATGCATTCTAGGTGTTGCTTATTGATTTCCATTTTTGATTGATGGGATTTGTTTTTATTTCACCTCCCTCAATCTCTTAAGGTGGTAAAATCACACTTTTTGGTTAAGTCAATACAGTACTTAGCATTGACATTTTGACTGAATGCTTCCTATTTTACATTAATCATCATGCTTTTTTATATACTGTATCTCTCATTAAAGTCTTTCTACATAATCTAATAGTTTCTCAATACATATTTTGTTCACTCAGTTAAATATATTAGACAATTCACCCTTTTCCTTCCCTGGAGCCTTGCATTCTCTTGCTCTGGTCTGCACTGCTGGCTGTCAGCCTAAAGACAAGGGGTCATTTGGGTGGGGACTCCTCTGGATCATTCCAAGTTTCTCTGTGTTGGGTCCCCTATTCCTTTACACTGTACTTCTTTGCTTTAATAAACCACATCCTTTGGCAGCTTCCCTTGAAAGTATGGGAAATGAAAACTTCAGAGTTTGCAAATCTGAGTTGAAAGTAATTTTCCTTCAGAATTTTAAAGGGATCACTCCATCATCTTGGAGCTTCATGTTGCTCTTCAGTGACCAATTTGCTATTTTTCCTAAGCTCTCATACATGACTTGTTTTTACACTCTCGAAGGAAGTCTTTCTGAAGTTCTCTTTATCCCTGGGGTTCTGGGATTTTGTGGTGATATGCCTTAGTGCTTTCACTGTGCTCAGCAGTTGGTAAAGCCATTTCCATCTAGAAATTCACTGATATTTTCTTGAGTTAATTTAGTAACATCACTACCATTTTACTTATTCTGAAACTTTGATATTGGACCTTCTGGATTTGATACTTAATTTTTTTCTCCCTTATCATCCATTTCCTTTTATTTTGACATCTTCATTTTGGGGGAAGTTATCCTTAACATTATTTCCAATTTTTCCTCTTTTCAACTGAATAGGTAAAATATTCATGATTCAAAATTCAAGAAATACAGAAGGAAATTACTTGCTTTTAGTTCCAAGAACTCTTCTTCCTTTTTAAAGAACTTTCATTAAGGACACAGAATTTCTGAGTTTAGAGAATAAGTAGTATACTTTTCCCTCCTCAAGTTTTCAAAAAGCTCCCTACTTCATCATTTCTTTGGTCCATTTGCCTTTTGTTTTGGTCTCTACCTTTCATGTTGGATGTTTCCTTAAATGTTTGATGGCCCTTGGCAGTCTATTCACATTTAAAGTGAGATTCTAAGAAGCTGATTGAAGTTTTGACCCTGTATAAGACTTGTTAACTAACAGGCTTTACCAGCTGATCCAATGGGGAAAAATGAAGGATGACTTTTTTTTTCGAGGGAAAAAAAAAAATCTAAGTATTTGTAGGCCTTTTTTCTAAAGTTTTTCTGTTTGTTTCTCCCTGGGAGTATATGTTGGTGTGTGCGAGTCCTACACACCTCATTTTCAATGTAGCCCTTCACCCCTATCCTACCATATCTGCTGTTAAGTACAGAGACTCTAATATTTTACATTTTTCAAGGTTCTGAAATTTCACAGGGCTATTTCATTCATTATGCTAAGTACTCATGGGCTCTGTCAGTCTGGAAACTTGTGACCTTTCGGTTTAGGAAACCTTCCTAAGTATTGCTTTGTTAATTTTCCTTCCACTGTTTCTCCAGAGAGTAACCTCCCATTTGTTACAGGGAAGAATTGAGTAGGGGTGATCACCTGCTAGACTAGAGGAAGAGGGGATCTGGGCTTTTTCTTATACATATCTTTGTCTGATAACCCCTCCAGCCTACCCCCAGTTCTCAACCTCCATCATTACCCTCCTCTGCTGAGCCTTTTCTGGGTTCAGAAGGGCACACTGATTTGCTTCTTGTTAATAACCACTTCAACAGGTAGAATTCTGTTCTGGTAAGCTAATTCACTTTTCCACTTATTTTTTATTTTCCCAAATGTTGATGTGTCTAATTGTCATCACCTCCTATTTTCCTTGATTCATGTGCCTTTTTTTTTTTCTTTAAAAATATATTGTTGGGTCTGTATCTACAAGTGGGATCGCTGGGCTGGATTCATGCACAAGTCACACCCCCACATCCTGCACAGATGTCTAGCTCAGCAGCCTCCGCCGTGGGGGACACTTTCCCCTCAGCTTTGCTTTTTGGATGGTCTGGTCTCCAATCAAGCATGCACGCTTGATGACTTGCAGCTCTGTTCTCCCTGGTGGGTCACATCGTAGAGGGACAGTGCGGCTCTGTCAATCATTGCCCACGTCCATGACAAGGCTCGTTCCCCTCCCCACTTTGTTCTTTCAAGAATGGTTCAGCTGTTCTTGGCCCTTTGTATTTTCATGCACACTTTTGAATCCACTTGCTGTCTTACACATCTTGTTGGGATCTGATTGGGATGACACCGATCTACACATTCACAAATCTTTGTAATAATGTGAGTCTTCTAATACACAAAATGTGTAACTTTCCCCTATTCAGGTTCTCCTGCCGTTCTCTCAGTAATGTTTTGCAGTTTCCTTTGAGGATGTCTTGTGTATCTTTCATTATATTTATCATGAACATTTGTATTTTATGGTGCTATTGTGAATTGTGTCTTTGTAGAAGTTCTGCTCTCTGTTTTATGCTGATCTACGGGAATAAAATAGGTTTTGTCAAAGGACCTTGTATCCAGCAACTTTGCTAAGACGTGGTGCTTGAGTCACGTGCCTTTTTGAGAAAATTCCTTTACTGGCATTTGAATGGTTTTTTTTGTGTGTGTAAATGCCAATATGCCAATATTTATGACTATTATGAAGGCAGTGGTAAAAAAGTATGTTGTAACAAAGTTTGAAACAATCACTTAAAATATCTTAACAATTTTAAAATCATTGTAAATTCAAGTGTTTTTCTTCTTCTAAATTTTTACTTGATATGACAGTGAAGGCTGTATGTATATAAACAGGCATTCATGAGTACAGTATATCTAACACACAAAATATTCAGAGTCTTCCACGATTCTTCTGTAAACATATAACTATTGTCTATCTACCTGCTATCAATTGTAGGGTTGGAAGGCACTTTGAAACAGATGACTGATTTAAAAAAAAAGAAAATGCATCTTTCATTCAGACAGACTGCTGACAGTGAATGCTGGTTGTTAAGAATCCAAACGATTTGCTAATCCTTATGTCCCATAATTTTTGCAGGCAGTCTGTGCTCTACATTGCTCTATGGCCATATTAATCTTTCATTCCAATGCGTTTCTTAGTACAGCTGCATTTTTTTCCAGTTGTTCAATGTTCCATTGCCATTGTCTTCTGTTTGACTGAAGTTTGCTCACCTGACAGTGCAAATGCTTAAGAATGGCACCATATCTCTTACATTGTACCTCTATTTCTTTTCTTAATTTTTCATGGGTAGTTTTTTCTTCCTCAAGAAAACAAGTTTTTTCAATGATAGATTCTTTTACAGTTATAATTTGAACCTTTAACTTTGCAATGTCTTCCTGTATTTGTTTCATCTGGTTTTCTTCTGGATTTTGGGAATCTTGTGTAAGTTCCTCTTTCATTGTCATTAGGTTTTTAACAAGATCTCATTTTTCATGGAGTTCAGTCATGAATGACCATTAGCATATGTTCCTCAAAGTCTTCTTGGGCTGCTTCTATGTCAAATTTAAGCTTTACATTTTCTGTATGTAAAGATTTGATTTGAGTTTCCAGGTTTCCACACTGAAGCTTGCTATTTTCTATGGCAGCATCTTGTTGACAAACGTGCCTTTCTTTCTTTAGTTTCTGCAGATGAGGCAGCCCGTCCTGTTTACACCATGGGCACAGTGGACACCAGTAAGTTTGTCTAATTATAGGCGCGCCATTCGGAGGTGGGCGCGGGCAGGGCTGAGGGCGCCCCGGAGAAGTGCCAAACGGCGGCGAGGGGAGGCCGCTCGCTGCAGGGAAGCCACGGTGGCTGTGCTCTCGCCGCCGGGCACAGGCCTTCAGGGAACCTCGGCAGCGGCGGCGCGGGCGGGGAGGCGGGCCGCCGCTTCCTGGGGAAGGAGGCGCGGGCGTCTGGGCGAGGCCGGGCGGGGAGGCCTGCCCTCGCGCGGTCCCCGAGCCCCCAGCAGCCCGCTCCGCTGCCGCCCCTGCCCAGAGGTGCCCGGAGCTCGCTCTGGACGTGGGCCCGGGGGCTGGGAGCTCGGCGGCCAACGCTGCCTCAGGGTTGAGAGGGTGGGCTATTTGAATGGTTTTAAAGCCAAGGTGTTTAATTTGCCATATTTACATGGGAATCCTTTGCTTTGTTTTTAATGTCCCCTTCCACTCTTTTCTTCTTCGTAGGCCACTCAAGCGTCAATCCTGTAAGCCTTCCCTAATCACAGGTGGAAGGAATATCTTCCTCCAGGGAAGTTCTCTAGGCGACTTCTGACCTCTGATGCCTATTACATACAAATCAAGGTGTCCTGTGGTTATTTGCATTTAATCACCCCTACTAGGTCCATCTATAACCTAAAGTTATGCTCTCATGTGCTCTCAGTACTAGGTCCTGTATCTAACAAAGCGGAAACTGAGATTTTCTGAAAAGTCAATTAAGCCAAACCCTGGCTAGCCTGTTTTTTTCCTTTTTAGAAATATTCACTAGTACCACTTTATACCCCTGAGTACAGTTCAGTATCTCTTCCAAAGTTTACTTCTTTCCACCCATCTGGAATGAAGAAAGGTAACCATTTCATCAGTGCTATCCAGGAGACCACTTGTTACCAGAATCATTTGCCACAGTCTGTCAAGTGACAAGATAGTAAGGATTATAGGAAGGCAACAAACAGCTCAAAAAGATGAGATAGAAGGGCATGTCTCATGGTTGAGGTTAAATAAGGCATCAATACAACAAAGTGACAAACTCCACCTCTAGAGTCCAATATGAAATCCTGGCTCTATCAATGACTGGCTCTATCAACTCCAGGCTCCTTATTTGAAAATGGGGATAAGATCTACTACATAGGGTTGGTATGAAGATTAAACACCACATGAAAAGTATTCAGCAAAATGCCTGTTATACAGTGAACACTCCAGTATAGGGAAAGCCCATTTCACAGGCTCTTCCTCTGTTCCTAGGATATCTTTTGCTGGCCTGGGTTTACATTTGCCTTGGGGGGCAATTTCCCTTCACTGAGACACTGAATATGAAGCAGAAGAATCCTGGATTATGAGGAGGTTCAAGTCCTTAGCCCAGCTTCCCTGACAGCACTTTGGATCAACAGGACAAAGCATGTGAAGGACTGGCAAGTGGCTAATGGGCTTGACACATGCTTGGCATCACCACCCTTGGGCAGAAAAGTGTTTGGCATAGGACTCTCTATGAGGATAGGCTCAGGCACTCCAATCCAGGACTACAAATCCGTCCACAGAGGCTGGAAAAGAATCTAGGACCTCTAATATCCATGAGCCATGTCAATGGTCAATTGGCAAGGCACAACAGTACCACCTAGTGGTCCTAACACCTCTCTTTTCCCTTTGGCCCAGATGTTTGGGAAAAGCTGCCATGTCAGAGGTTCAGAACTCTTTGGTCACCTACTTCAGTGGCTGATCAGTCAGAAACCAAATACACCACTCTCTTCCTTTTTTAATTTTAACAAATACAAGTAGCAGAGAGGGCCAACTACTCTCTGCTGTTTCCTGAAGGAAAGCCAGAGCACCAGGCTGTTCCTCTGGCCTTCCTCTAACTGCAGGGCCTGCTTAGCATCTCCGTCAGCAGACCTGTTCCAGCCAATTTTCCTCATCCAACTCCCCAGTCAGGATGGGAGGCACATGGTTGCTAGCGGTGGGAAGAATACTGTAGTTCCAAACTCAGCTCCTTTAAGTTTCGGCTGGGATGGTAGTCACCATCCTTTTGCATCTAGCCTTGCACTTGCCCTGGACCAGAAGCCAGGAGGCAATCAACCACACCCATGGAGCAGGCAGTGTGACTTCAGTCATCTTCAGATGATTCCTCTTCTGCCTCTTTCAGCCACTGGATGAACCTCTGCAGCTGTAAGGAAGCACAGTAGGGAGCTACTGGGGGAGGGGCACATAACCCTGCTGTTCTCCTTAGCAGTTAAATAGTTCTAACAACCACAGAGACCCAGGAAGCTACTGCCCTGGAGTCTTATGGCTGAAGGCCCAGACAACCACCGTGGTGTGAAGGGGGCATCCTGACTCACCTGCTGGTTCCTGCACAACTGCCGGCCCTTGTCAGTTGTATCCCTTTGGCTGAACCAGCTCAGGATTGTTTCTTCTGCCAGGATCTCCAGCTGATAAAAAGCCATCAGTACCTGCAGAGGCCAGCAGAAGAGATCTCAGAGGTCTTGTAGAGGCCAGCAAGATACAATGAATAACAGAGGAAGAGGAGGTAAGATCCTAGCACCTCCCTTTATCAGGCCCTCGGCTTCCTTCTACTTACTGAACAACCTCCTCCAAAACAGACAAGAGTGAACCGTTCACTCTGGCACAGGACAGGTATAATTTCAGGAACTGTTGCTGGGTAATGCTTTGCACATTCCCAGAGCAACCTCCAAAAGGCTGCCTTACTAGCCTGGCTCTAATATGTACTATCCCAGCAATAAGCACAATACTAGGGGGTGGACAGTGCTGTAACCAAATGCCATACCAGATTCATATCAGCCTCTGTTTTATGTCTCCATGGAGGTCACCAAGGCCTGTTTCAAAGCAAATGCAGGACTACAGGGCTTGAGGCAGTATTCACCTTGGCCATGGAAGTACCAAGAGCTTCATGGTCCAGAAAGAAGTCCTCAATGGCTGCTAATGTTTCCAAATGATCAGCTGCACGCTTTACATAGTTTCTAAAAACAGGGCTCCAGGCCTTGAGCAGCTATGGAAGAAAGGAGAAGGGAGCTGGAATCTATTTCTGGGCATGCACCTATACCTTGCCAGCAAAGAAAATCAATATTGATACCACGGGACTTTTATGATATGGGAAGACAGAAGAGAGATGATACAGGCCCTGTGGAATCATGTTAAGAGAGGCTTGGAGTTCACTTGCTGGCAGTCTGGGTTGGGGAAAAAGGAGATTACCCAGAGTGAAAGGTGGTCTCAGATGCTACAGGTTGTCTCTTCATACCTATTCCTAGCCTAAAGGTCGATCTCCTGGGTCAAGTAATCTTCAGTCAAATAGTACAAAAGTCCAGGTCTATGCTGGGTGTACCTCTGGGGTCTAGTGTGGTCTGAATCCTGGGGTCTGAAAGGCTACTTCGTACCTAACTTGAACCTAACTTGACTTCCCTGGACCAGCCAAGGCTGTTCTCAAACTCAACCTATGGCCAGAGGCAAGGAGAAAGGAACCATAAGTAACATATATCGTGTAACAAGAACTTCTACTCCTAATTTCCTTTGAAGTCCAGCATAGCAGACATGTATCGACTCCACCCTATCCCTTGCACCCGCCCCAATCTTTGCTCACGGGAAGCAGAAGGGCACAGTAGCGGTTTGGATCGAGTGGGGAATCCATCTGCTGTAGGGGGAACTCCAGGACCACGCGGCTCAGTACCTGCATCACCTCCTTTAGGCTTATGTTGTAGGCGTACCTGTGGGGAGACTCGGGTGACACCAGGGCCCTCATAGGCCCTTTCAGCATGCTGTAGACTATGACTTTGGAGGACACTGGGGGAGAGGAAGTCAGATAGAAAACGGAGGGGATAGTTTTGGAAGGGGAAAGTCTATGCTGCAGCTAGAACCTAATGCTCTCCTTGTTCCAAATGCTAATGGCCTTGTCCATTTGGGATGTTGAGGGAATAGTTTCATATTTGGGGAGAAAAACAGGAGAGAACCTCTACCTGGGTGGGACTACACCAAGGAGAAGAGAATAAGGAGGGGCTGCTCTTACTTGAGAGAGTTGATCTCTAGGACTAGATTGTCACAAGAAATGTTCTCCTCCTTGCCCCGCTGCAGTGTTCCCAGGACTTCGTTCTGGAATACTGAAATCAAAGAAAAAAAATTTATGGGCGAACAACACTCCAAAATACTTTAAGTCATCTAGTCCTGACTTTACATCAAATCCTTTCTGGAAGGAACACAAATCTCTGGCTAGTTGACCCAGACAAAGAAGAAACTGGAGGTTTTCTTCTTTTGTCCCAGGACACCAGTCCCTGGACCACTCACCTTTAATGTCATCCATCTGTGGGGAGCCTGCCCGGCTATCTAGCTCCTCAGAATCCATACTTCGCTCACTCTCAGTTTCACTCTCTTCTACCATGTTGATTGTGAGTCCTGAGAACCCACAAAGGGTGAGAAAAAAGAAAAAAGAAAAGAGCCATTGACAGCAATGTATCTGCCCAGTCTGCATGAATAAAGTAATGAAGAAGTAGTCTGATTCTGAAGTGTTCATTTTCCTTCAAAATATTCCAATTTAGAAAGGGAAGTGGCAGGAGTAAGGTCTAGCTCACCCCACAGATTCTGCCGTAATTCCTCTTCTTCCTCTGTGTTCATGTCTGCAGCTTTCCAGAGGTAGCCCTGGCCTGCAACTCCAACTTCTGCTGGATTATAACCTGGAAAAGGCAGTGATCTTTAGTGAAGGCCGAGTAGATACACCAGTCCCTCTAGGTGTAAGGGGCAGAGACACACAGATGCCCCACACCTGCTGAACCTCACACCTTTCTGCTTCACTTTCTCCTTTTCTTGGTCAGCCCCAGAATCATCACTAAACTGACCATCCTCCTCATCTTCTTCTGCATCTGGAGGGTGCATAGATATCACTGAGCCCTCAGGCAGTGTGATGTCTGGGCCAACTACCACCTAGGGGAGAAAAAAGGAGTGGGTGGCTTAGACCTCTTAGTGGTTGGGGAAAAGGACATCCTGACAATGAGTGACTTTTTTCCTAAGTAGAAGGCAAATGAACCACTGGATTTGGACTCTCAGTTCAGGCTGGATTTATGGGTGGACATAAGGTCCTATCTGGCTCAGCATGACCACCATTCAGGTTAGGGTCTGTGCACAGTATGGAGCAGGTCTCACCTGGGAAGTAAGGACACAGCGTGGCTTCAGTGTAACTTGTTCCTTGACCATAGCATTGTCACAGAGTAGAGACTGATGGATTTGTGCTCCAGCAGCCACTTGGACACCCTGCCACAGGTAGGCCTGGTCCAACACCACGTTATCACCTGGCTCAGAACAGGAAGGACTCCTGGTCACTCAGGGCTCCAACTCCAGACCAGGGTCATTCCCCAGAGGACAGAGCTGATGACAATAGTACAGCTCCCACCCAGCTCTAATGCTCCATTCTCCAACTCACTATAAACACCCTTTCCCTGCTGAAGCCCAGATCTGAGAATAGAATATTGTTCAGCCTGACTGGGTCCACCAGGTTTACAACGATTAGACTGTATCCCAGGCTTAAAAACCTGAGAACATTCAAGATTTCCAGGAACTCCTTAAACTCAAGAACTTTATTACAATCATATCCACATTTAGAAGTAGAACCAAATTATTCCACTTCTGCCTATATATTTTACAATTAGAATCTTACTGTTCTTTTAAAAGGGCAGTTCCATTAGAAACATCACATTCCTACAAAGTGAGTTACCAAGAGTCTAACAAGGCAGTTATGTAGAATAAAAGGAACACTGGACTTACGTTACTGAAGATTCAAGTCTTAGCACCGCTTCTTATTACCTACGACTTTGGGTGAGATAACCTTTTCAAGCTTGTCTGCTTATCTATAAACTGGGACTAAGTAATATCTACCTCACAGGGTTTTTGTGAGGATTAAATAAAATATTGTATGCAAAAATCCTTCATAAACTGTTACACACTAAACAGATGTCATTATTGCATGTTAATTATCTACTTGGTCCTGAATGTGAATATAGGGTACCCTGGAATGTGAAGAGTCACCCAACAAAAGGCTCTAAGGCCACAAATTATTGTTTTCACATCCCTGCTCCCTCCTTTATTATGGTAGCCACTCTAGTTCCTTACTCCTAGAGACTATCTTTTTGTATCCCTCTCTGGAGACATGGTACCCCCACCAGGTTCCTGCTCCTAGGGTAACTAGCTTGACTTTCCCTCCTGTGCTTACCAATGTGACAGCCAGGGCCAATGACACTGTTGGTGATAGAGCAATTGCTGCCAATAACAGTGCCAGAGCCTAGGAGCACATTTTCCTCCAGGATGCTGCCGTGGCCGAGGCTGACCTCAGACCCTCGGTAGATGTTATGCCGGGAATGAGTACAGCTCTGGACTGTGCTGTCAGTGAAGTTTGCCTCTGGAGTGAGAGGGTAGACCCATCGGCGGATGATGTCAGCACAGACAGCTGCATACATGTGTAGGTTGGAGACGCGGGCACCATATTCCCTAGTTGTCACATACATGTGGATCTGGTTTCCTAGGATCTGAATGATGAGAAGGAAAGGGAGGTCATCCAAGCACGTAAAAGAGGAAGAACCCCCTCAGGTACAACTCTTTTCTAATTTTAAATTCCCCTCTGCTTTTCAATGACAGAGCCAAACTGCCTGAAATTTTTGTAGGCCACTTCCCTAGTTCTTTTCCTTCCTCCTAAGATTCAATAAAACACGAAACGGGACCAAAAATTATCAGCATGAGATAAAATCATAGCCTTCTTCTAAAGAGGTTTTGGGAGCCTTTTCTTACCTCCTCATTCACTAATAGGCCTCGGACAAAGTCATCTCGAGTTTGGTAGTCAAAGTTGTCTGTAAAGAGTTGAGCCACCTGTGGAGGGGGAATAAGTTGGTGGGGTCACCGTTAAGTGCTCTGAAGTGTAGCTAAGTTGCCAGAGACCTATCATACTCTTTCACAGTAGGACATGGGCCAGAATCCCAAAAAGGCTCCCAGTGGGATACTGGGGTCAAGATGACAGCACCTATTACTGCAGCATTATTTACAATAGCCAAGATAAGGAAGCAACCTAGGTGTCCATCAACAGCTGAATGGATAAAGATGTGGTACATATATATAATGGAATATTACTCAGACAAGAAAATGAAAATTTGCCACTGGGACAAGAGGGTGGACCTAGAAGGTCCATCTATTTTGCACAATAGATCAGAGAAAGACAAATACGATGTTATTTCACTCACACGTGGAATATAAAAAACATGCACAAACAAAACAGACATCAACTCAAACACAGAGAACAAACAGGTGGTTGCCAAAGGGGAGGGAGTTGGGGAGATAGGTGAAAGGGAAATATTGTGAGAGTGTTAACTACATTGATTTGGGTGATGGCTACGTTACAGCATATACACCTCACAATTCTTCAAGCTGCACATTAAAATTTGTGCATTTCTTGTATAAAAGACAACAACAACAACAAAAAAAGATAATGGCACCTATTTGCTGTAGAACAGATACGAAGAAGAAATACACCCTGGCCTTCCCACATCTACTCTTGATGTGCAGCCCCAGACCTGAAGAGCTCACCTGAGGAGAACAGATGCTGATATGACAATCCAGTAAATCATAGCGGATCTCTACTGCATCTCGACTGCCCTGGAACAAGCTCTGTGGGGAGAAGTTACATGGATTTTAACCTGTCTCTCCTGCTGAAGCCTGTCACTTTCCTACATCGAGAACCCCAGATACCCACACACCAGAGGAAAAGAAAAACGTCGGAGGCCTTGGGTCTTCTGGAAATGGAGAACCCGGTCTGTGGCACTATCCACAGCCACTACCACATTATCCTCAAGGCAACGAGTTCGGTGGCTGGGGGATGACTCCTTGAAGATCATTGTCATCACAGATACATTTTTTTCTAGCTTCCGCCTCAATCTATGAAAGACAGGAGGGAGAGAACAGTTACCAAAGGGAAAGGGACTGAGGAGGGTGGGTGGGAAGGGAGGGATAAGGGCAGGGAAAAAGAAAAGGGGCATTACAACTAGCATGTATAGTGTTGGGGGAGGGTACGGGGAGGGCTGTGCAACACAGAGAAGACAGGTGGTGATTATACAGCATCTTGCTATGCTGATGGACAGTGACTGTAGTTGGGTATATGGGGGGGACTTGGTGAGGGGGGCAGCCTGGTAAACATAGTGTTCTTCATGTAATTGTAGATTAATGATACCAAAATTAAAAAAGAAAAAAAAAACCATCTTAGGGCTCGCTGGTCCCAAACCCTTGTCCCTACCATTTTCCCGTTCTGACCTGTGTTCCCATTCTGACCTGTGTTCCTCCAGGGCTCTGGTAATATTGATGTTTGAGATGACATCCCCATACACCAGAAGGAAGTCAGAGCGCACCAAGGCCTTGGCATCAACATCACGGAGAACATCCCCCAGTGATCGATACAGCTCTGATGTAATTATCCGAACCACATTGAGGGATGTAGGGCGGCACCACTTCGACTTTCTAAAGGAAGGTGGGGTGGTGAGGGGAATGAGTAAATCAAGCACAAAGGTCATGTGGAGCTTCTCTATATTTCTCTCCTATTTGACAATAGCTTTTTTGGGTTCCTGCCAGCGTCTTTAACTTTACAAACTATAATTAATGATTTTAGCATTCTGTGTAACCAGTCTTGTTTTATGGGTTAGAGAAACATGGTTATTTCTTCTCCATACCTTGCCCTTTGCCCCCGTAGATTTGAACTCAAAATCCTGCTGAGACTTAGGGTATATAAAGTATCTGAGGAGCTACTCTTTTCATGCTACTCTTCTCCTTTCAAAGTCCGTACTAAATTTAGAAACTGTCAATGGAAACCATGCTAATATCCAAGTCTTGTTTCTTAGGCTTCCATAAATCCTGAAATTTACTCTTTCAATAAGATTTCACCAAACATTTATTATTACTGTGTGCTTGATACTAAGTTAGGCACTGGGAATACAAAGATGAAGAAGAGCTCAACATTTAGAAGCTCAGTGGAAAGACAAAGCTGTTACTCTTATAATTTCCATACTGGAGCCATTAAACAAAAAGCACTGGGACCAAACTCTGTAAGTGAGATTTAGAAAAAAACACCAGTGTTGTTCTTTAATCTTTGTCACAGCTTCAGCTGCTCACCTCTTGGTAAGAGTATGCCCTTAGACCTTATGATGGAATCCAAATAGACACATTTTTATTCCCTCACAATTTCCCCTTATTTATTACATCTATCCCAAGGAAACTGAAAAAAAAAAAAAAAGGTGAAACATGGAAAGAAAAGCTGCAGAGCCTTACAGTAAATGTTCCTTGATTTGAGCAGCCTTCCAGCAACAAAAGACAAAGGTTTCCTGTACACCTGTGGCAGTCAAAAATTCCAGAGTGTAGTCAATTAGTGCCACATTGGCCAGGGGCAAGAGGACCTGGAGGGTAGGAGATGAAAAAAAGTTTGAAGTCTTGAATCCATGAGGGCCCTCTGGGTACCTTTCCTTCTCCCACTTCAACCACAATTTTCACTCCTCTGTCAGTATTTCCAAACACTGTATTTTTACTTTATCTTTCTAATTTAAAAGCAATCAGCCTGCTGCCTTTGATGTTTATGGTATGCTCCAAGCATTAGAGTCTAAGGTGTTGCAATTTGGATGTAGTGAGCAAGGAATCTATTTGCTTAACATTGGACACAGAGCCTCTATAGAAGAGCAGATAGTCATATCTACAGAAATTAAAGCACCAATAAGGCCTTGTCTGTCACAAAATTTCCTTCCTTGATCCTTTTCTAAGAGTCAGGGCTAGCCACCCCAATCACTTGCCAAAGTAACAGCCATTAGGCTTTTTTTGGAGAGCAGGTAGTGATTTTCCTGAACTGAATGCAGTTCCCTTTCTTTAACTGAACTGGGGTCTACTGAGTGATACAGTAATCCCTATGACTAGCTGGGTCCAGTTCCCCAGTGTCTAGACAATACAGGGACTGCTGGCAACCAGCCACTAAACTCGTTCAGTCCTCCTTTTGAGAGAGGGCACCTTCTGCCATTAAAACCAGGAAAGAAAAAAAAGCACACAGTAGGAGATCCAAAACAGCTGTTACCATGGGATCAGACCAGCCTGCTATTTGTTGGACACAGGACCTCCCTTTTGGAGGCAAAAGCGGGTGATGTTCCCTCTCAACCAAGGGTCTCTTTTTCCTCTTCATGAAGGCAGCGCGGCCTCTTCTTGGGGCACTGAATCCCTGAGTGAAGGCTTCTCCCAAGCGCTGCTTCTGCCTTCAGCCCTCCGTAAGCCCTCCACACCTGACGGCGGCCAGCACTGAGAGTGCCCCAATCTGCCAGCCACTCACTCGGGTTAAGCTGTCGCCAAGGCTTTAGACGGTCCCTCCGCCTTCCCCCTAATCAGATAAACCCACTTTCCAGTAAAGAGGGTGGATACAAGGCCTTCCAGAGCACGCCTCACTAGGCAGGTGAAAGGGTTACTCGCTCTAGCCCCGCCGCCTGCGCGCCCTCTGGCTGCTCTCCCGCGCGGCGCTCACCCGAGGCTGGTCCTTGGAGATGGGGAAGAAGCGGCGGTTGAAGCTATCTGCCACCAGAACCGCTTGCAGAGGCGGCGGCGGTTCCTCCTCGGCCACTTTGGGTCCCGCACCGCCGCCGCCTCCCGGCCCACTGCTGCCGCGCTTGTTGGCCCGACTGGCCACCCCACCCGGCGGCGCCACCACAGTGGCCGCCATCTTGCTCTCTGAAGAGAACACCACCACTTCCGCACGGACACTGACACCGCGTGCAGTCGGGGACAAAAAGGGACCAGCGCTTGAAACGCGAAGGCGTAACCAAGGAAGAGAGGGAGGAGCCAGGGAGAGGGGAGCGGGCATGCGCCTCCTCTAGGCGCCAACTCAGGTCACAGGGTTGAGTAGGGAGGACCCGGGAGTGGCGAAGGCGGCGGCCCGTCTTGGCCCCCTGCGGCGCCGGAGCGCGGGATCCTGTGGACCGCAGAGTCGACCTGCAAGTATAGTAGCCCTTTATTTGTATGTGAACAGGCTGAGATTCTTGCGGGATGATGGGACTTGTTTCTGCGAAGGGTCCAGAGCCTTTCCGGATATGTAATCATCCCTGCCCCCAGTCATAGCCATGATGACAGGGTGTTCACGCTTTTGCGTGACATATGCCTCCCTCAAGCCTTGTTACGACGTTTGCACATTCCCCATCTGACATGAAAATATAAATAGATTAAAAATATAAAAATGTAGTGGTCTGTCTTCAACCTAGCGGCCTAATGTGACCCTGCATCTTGGGGAGCTCGGAACTGAATCAGACATCCTCTTCCCTCAAGGAACTCACAGTCTACATAAATAGAGAACGTGATGTAGTAGTATTAAAAAGAAAGACACAGGCCCAAAATGGTGTCACTTCTGCTAAGCCAAGTTGCCAAGCCGACGGTTAACACCTAGCATAATTACAGTTTCAACCTCTGCCTGAAATGTAGTTGGTGAGGAATTTTCTGCTTAGCAAAAGTGAGATAATGTCACATATGCCCTCTCCATACCCAGAGGAAGGTGAGTTAATTCACCTAATGAGACCCTTATACTTGCCTCCTCTCCTACACATAATATCAGTGTGTATAGCATGATCCTTTAGGACACTAATTAGATGTATCCATGCTGCCATACTGATGTACTGATAAATGTAACGTTTATGCATATCCCTTGCTGTAGAAAAAGTTAAGATGTCTCTAAATGGAGGGGTTTTAGAGCAGTTTATTGGAATACACTGATGGGCTGCTCTCAGGTCATGGTGCTCATTATGACTGAATAAAATCTTTCACTTAAACATAACCTTAATGTTGATTTTAGTGGTCAGTAGAGAGAGTAGTAATTCTATTGCATACCTTTCTGCGGCCTGGAACAGTACAAGCAGCTCATTTAATTTGTCACACAGCTCTGTGAGAACATTTTCTTCATTCATTCAACAAACATTTCTTGAACTCTCAGAGGGGCAAAGTTCATCCAGCTAGTAAGTGGAAGAACTGGTATTGGAACCTGACCTCCCTGCCTTCATAGTTCTGCAATCTTTCTGCCCAATTATGTGGGATTAAAAATTACTATTTTATGATGTCTTCACTTACTCATGCATTAAGCCTATCATCATTTATTGGAGCCCTACTTGTGTCTTTTTTTTTTCCAACCTCTGGAATATTGATACATGTGTTGCTGAGAAGGTACAGCATCTCACTCAGTTCATAACAGCCAGTAAAATCCAACCATATAACACAAACTGTAATTAAAAGGTGGTCTTTTGCTCAGAGGTTTTTTTTTTATTATTGTTGCTATACAATCTTACATTGATTTCAAATACACAATACAGTGGTTCAACAGATACATATTATTATATCCTCAACCCCTCTAGTGTGGTTACTATCTGTCAACATAGAAGAGGTTATGGAATCATTGTAATTCTCCATGCTGTATCCCTGTGACCAACTTATATTGTTATTGTGAATTATTGTGCCCCTTTATCCCCTTCACCCTCCCCCCCAATCTGCCCCAATTCTTCCTCCCTGGTAGCCACTAGTCCCTTTGCTCAGAGTTTTTTTCTTTATTGGAATAAAGCTAATATACAATATTATATTGGTTTCAGATGTACAACATAGTGACCTGATTATTTACATTACTAGATGCTTACCACTGTAAGTGGAGTTCCCCCTGTTACCACACCATGATATTACAATATTATTGGTTATATTCTATATATTGTACTTCCATTGCTAAGACTAACTTATTTTGCAGTTTTCAGTTTGTATCTCTTTATCCCCTTCACTTATTTGCCCGCCTCCCCACCCACCTCCCCATGGTAACCAACAGTCTGTTGTCCCTATTTATGTGTTTATTTCTTTTTGTTTGCTTGTTTTGTATTTTAGATTCCACCTATAAGTGAAATCATATGGTATTTGTCTTTCTCTGCCTGGCTAATTTCACTTAGCATGATACCCTCCAGGTCCATCTATGTTGTTGCAAATGGCAAGAGAGCCTTCTTTTTTTTAATATATATATTTTTAAGTTAAAGTAGCACTGATATATAATCTTACGAAGATTTCACATGAACAACATTGTGGTTTCAACATTCACCCATATTATCAAGTCCTCATTCCCCCCATTGCAGTCACTGTCTATCAGCATAGTAAGATGCTATAGTGTCATTACTTGTCTTCTCTGCGCTGTACTGCCTTCCCTGTGACCTACCTACCTATATCCCTCCCTCCCCACCCATCTCCCCAACACTTTCCCTTTGGTAACCACTAGTCCCTTCTCAGTGTGAGTCTGCTGCTGTTTTGTTCCTTCCATTTTGCTTTGTTGTTATGCTACAAATGAGTGAAGTCATTTGGCACTTGTCTTTCTCTGCTGGCTTATTTTACTGAGCATATAACCTTCTAGATCCATCCCTGTTGTTGCAAATGATAGGATTTCTTTTCTTTTTACGGCTGAATAATATTCCATTTTGTATATGTACCACTCTTCTTTGTCCATTCATCTATTGATGGACACTTAGGTTGCTTCCATACCTTGGCTAATGTAAATAGTGCAGCTATAAACAAAGGGGTGCTTATATCTTTTTGAATCAGGTATCTTGTTTTCTTCAGGTAAATTCCTAGGAGTGCTAGGAATAACTGTGTCAAATGGTATTTATGTTTTTAATTTTTTGAGAAACCTCCATATTGCTTTCCACAATGGTTGAACTAATTTACATTCGCGCCAACAGTGTAGGAGGGTTCCCTTTTCTCTGCATCCTTGCCAGCATTTGTTGTTTCATGTCTGTTGGATGTTGGCCATCCTGACTGGTGTGAGGTGATATCTCATTGTGGTTTGAATTTGCATGTCCCTGATGATTAGCAATGTGAAGCATATTTTCATGTGTCTGTTGAAAGTGCCTTCTTTTTATGGCTGAGTAATATTCCATTGTGTAAATGTACATCTTTATCAATTCATCTATTGATGGGTATTTGGGTTGCTTCTGTATCTGTTGTAAATAATGCTGCAATGAACTATTTTCAAATTAGTTATTTTATTTAATTTAGGTAAATTCCCAGTAGTAGAAATGCTGGGTGATACGGTATTTCTATTTTTAATTTTTTGAGAAACCTCCATATTGTTTCCCACAGTAACTGGACCAATTTACATTCCTAACAACAGTGTAGGAAGATTCTCTTTTTCTCCATGTCCTTGCCAACATTTGTTATTTCCTGTCTTTTTGATAATAGCTATTCTTACAGGTGTGAGGTGATAATCTCTTGGTTTTGATTTGCATTTCACTAATAATTAGTGATGCTGAGGATCTTGTCATGTGTCTGTTGGCTATCTGTATGTCTTCTTTGACAAAATGTCTATTCGGGTCCTCTGCCCATTTTGTAATTGGATTATTTGGTTTTTTTTGGTGTTGAATTGTATGAGTTTTTTGTAAGTTTTAGATATTAGTCCCTTATTAGATATATTGTTTGCAAATATATTCTCCCATATGGTAGGTTGCCTTTTTGTTTTGTTGAAGGTTTCCTTTGCTGTACAGAAGGTTTTTAGTTTGATGTAGTCCCACTTGTTTCTATTTGCTTTTGTTTCCCTTGCCTGTGGAGATGTATCCAGAAAGAAATTTTTTATACTGATGTTCATGAGATTCTTGCCTATGTTTTCTTCTAAGAGTTTTATGGTTTCATAACTTACATTTAGGTCTTTAATCCATTTGTAGTTTACTTTTGTATATGGTATAAAACAGTGATCTAGTTTCATTCTCTTGCATGTATCTATCCAGTTTTCCCAACACCATTTATTGAAGAGACTGTCTTTTCCCCACTGTATATTCATAGCTCCTTTGTTGTATATTAGTTGACCATATATATGTGTGGGTTTATTTCTGAACTCTTTATTCTGTTCCAGTGTTCTCTGGGTCTGTTCTTGTGCCAGTACCATACTGCTTTACTCCCTGTAGCATTGTAATATAGCTTAAAGTCAGGGAGTGTAATCCCCTCAGCTTTGTTCTTCTTTCTCAAGATTGCTTTGGCTATTTGGGGTCTTTTGTGGTTCCATATAAATTTTAGAATTATTTACTCTAGTTCATTGAAAAATGCCATTGGCATTTTGATAGGGATTGCATTGAATCTGTGAATTGCTTTGGGCAGGATGGCCATTTTGCCAGTATTAATTTTTCCTATCCATGAGCACAGGATAGAGTTCCATTATTCTTCCGTATGTCTTCTTCAGTTTCTTTCATCAGTGACTTATAGTTTTCAGAGTATAGGTCTTTCTTCTCCTTGGTTAGGTTTATTCTTAGGTATTTTACTCTTTTTGGTGCAATTGTAAATGTAATTTTTTCCTTGTCTTCTCTTTCTGCTAGTTAATTGTTAATATATAGGAATTCATCAAATTTCTGTATATTGACTTTGTATTCTGCAGCTTTGCTGAATCCATTTTTTTAGTTCTAATAGTTTTTTTTATGGAGTCTTTAAGGTTTCCTATATACAGTATCATGTCATCTGCAAATAGTGACAATTTTACTTCTTCCTTACCAATTTGGATGCCACTTATTTCTTTTTCTTATCTAATTGCTGTGGCTAGGACTTCCAGTACTATGTTGGATAAAAGTGGTGAGAATGGCATCTTTCTTCCTAATCTTAGAAGAAAAGCTTTCATTTTTTTCACCACTGACTATGAGGTTGGCTGTGAGTTTGTCACATATAGCCTTTATTTATGGTAAGTTATATTCCCTCTATGCCCACTTTGTTGAGCGTTTTTATCACAGATGGATGTTGAATTTTGTCAAATGCTTTTTCATTCTATTAAGATGATTATATCTTTTTTGTCCTTCGTTTTGTTAATGTGGTGTATGCCATTGATTGATTTGCAGATATCACACCATCCTTGGCTCCCTGAAAAAATCCCACTTGGTCATGGTGAATGATCCTCTTTATGTATTTCTGAATTTGGTTTGCTAATATTTGTTGAAGATTTTTGTTTCTGTGTTAAT